ACTGTACGCTGTCAATGGTTAGGCGTGATTCAACGTCAGGCGTAGCCTTTCATTATGATGATAAAAACATCGCTGAAAGTTGTGCCCTGAGTCCAGTTATCGTTCTTTTACAAAAATGTACGTGTACCTTTACGATATAATATTCGACAGACTTCAAGAATCGTGAGTGCACATTCATGCCAATTTGTTCTCTGTCAAAGCGACATCTTTTAATGTGGACAATCCTAAAGCTGCGTGCACATATTCATTTTGAGTTCGATCAAGGATAAATAGGTAATTAAAACACTTTTTGATTATCAAATAGTATGAATTTAACTTGCAATGTAAATTTCATCGTATTTGGGGTCACAGTAATAACGGGATTTGTCAAAATATGCCTTAGTAGAACGCGGCAATCTAAGAAAATCCTATCGTCGAAAGGATGTTATTGTCTTATAATCAGAAAAGCAATACAATTTTTTCATACAAATTGTTATTAATCTATATTTACATATGAAACACATTTGGCAAGATTAATTTTTGCGAATTTGATTAGATTAGTTATGAATGTGTATAAGCGCTATATGTTTAACATATATTATTTATTATGTCTACATATTGCTATTTATGATATGTGACCAGAACTATGTTACTCTAAACAGTCAAACCATGATAAAATTTCAATTACATTTGTCTAAAACCTTCGTTTATGCTAAATATCTTATAATAATGAATAGCAGGGCATGTGCATGCATACTACAATGGCAACAGGCCAAACCTTGCAAAAACATTTCTGCAAAAAGTGTTTTGCAATGTGTAAAAATAATCTAAAGCAAAATGACTCAATAAATTGTGTGTACTTTAATGCACTCTAACACCCCAGTCACATTTCCTACGGCGACCTTGCGGAGCTATCATTTCTGCGGCCAGTAACATTTCTACGCTCGCCGTGGAATTTCTGCGCTCTCATACTTTTGCAGTCACATTTCCCACGGCAGCCGCACGGTGAATTTCTGTTGATAAATAATACTTTTTTCATTTTATTTACATCGGGACATTTTATAAATGTTATTCATAGTGCTAGGATGTAATATCAAATGAAAATTGATCGTGAAACATTGACAAATAATGATTCAATCTTGTTGAGCCAGTTGATATCTACGGGGACCTCAGAAATGAACAAATATTATAACTCCGAGTTATAATTTCAACGGCGACCCTGCGGCCTGTAAAAAATTGGATACGCCGTACGGAGGCCGCAAGGCGAGCGTAGTTTTCTTACGCTCGCCGCAGAAATACACTGATTTAATTGATCTGCGGTCGACGCACGGCCACCGCACGACAAATGTGACTGGGGTGTTAGACTTTGAATTCTGGCTTCTGCTCTCATGCAAAGTCGGATACAAATTCAAATACAAATGCTTAAAATTGTCCAAAGTTTATTTGCCAAAAAATAAAATAATTGGCTATAAGTAATAACTTTTGATTTCATTTTCATGGTGTAAATGTCATACTTGGTACGAAAGTCACAAAATGGTTTGTATCCGAAATTCAAGAAATATACATATTTTTACAATATGATCGCCAGAATAAAAGAATGTAATATTTCTATATAATGATAAAATTGATGTCAACATTGCACCGTTTCGTAATACTATCACTATTATGTTGAATAGCAAACAGTCAATGTACAAGTGTAGCGAGTTTACGACCTCGGTGTGCTCCTGGTATGGTGATCGCCTTTGGTCAGACAATCGCTTTCAGAATATGAAGTAATTCATTCATATATTTAGTAAGTTTATTTAACACTGTTCGTCCTGCAAACACCACAGATCCATGTCTACACTAAATACTAAATGCATCGGACACAACCCCAGAGTCGATAGTTAGTGTATCAGCGTCATCACTTGTGGCCAAGTCCTTCTCTGTCTGGTATTTCTTCCCATAACAACCCGCAGAGCTGAAGTACAGAAAAATTCATTTCATACAACAACCAAGGAGTAATCTCAGAGACAAACTTTTTTAAATGAGATAATGATTAATGGAATTTCAGCGAGGCACATTACATCTTACACCCGTGCTTACCTAAGTGCTTAATACATACCTGTAGGGATTTGGTCGTTTCTCCTGGTTATTTTCTTTCATTGGTTTTCTACAGTAGGATCCATCACTGCTGTAATACAAAGAAAACAAAAAGTCAATATACATGTTAATAAAGTTCTTGCAAAAGTAGTCTCATTTTTTGTTCCTCAATCAACCTGGCTGAAATTTTCACTCAGTATACCCATTATTCATACATTTGATACTTGAATTATAATGAATGAATTTTCCAAATGGGTTCCCCCATCTGTTTGAGGAATGGTAAGTATGACTGCAAGAGGTGTATAGGCCATGATTGACACTATTTTTAACACTTTTAATATTGAGATACTGTTATTGTATTAAAGTAAATAGGACAAGTTAAAAACATTTTGAACATTCAAACAAAACAGATCCTTTTTGCCTGCTCTGGGACCTATTAATTATAACTTAGGATTTCAATGTATGAATAATGTATACTGAGTGAAAATTTCAGCCAGATTGACTGATACAAATATTTTAGAGGAATTTTGCAAGAACTTTATGAACACCCTGTAAGAAGGCCATGTTGTCTCTAATATTACATTGTTGCTTACTAAAGTGCGTTTATACATACCTGTTGGGATTTGTTTGTTGCTCCTGTTTCTTTTCGTTCATTGGTTTCTTATCACTTACAGCAGACTGGGACCTCCACAAAGACCCACCACTGCTGTAGTACGAAGAAAGAAAAGTCAATATACAGGGTGGTCCAAAAAAAATGGGACACTCGTATTTCAAAAATAAATAATGATTTTCTTGATGAAAACATGTCATATTATATACCACCCAGTGGATAGGGAATTTACTTATCTTTAATTTGGTATATCATAAGTTCAAATTTATTATAATGTCTGTCAACCAGCGTCCATTACATAAATGACGTCATTTTAGTTTCAAAACGGGTTTTCCAAAACTTGCAAAAAAAAATTTTTTTGTCAACTTTCTCAACTAGACATTCAATATGTCCATCATTTTGATCAATTATAGTCCTCAATTTTGGCCTTAACTGGTCAAAAATTTCATTGATATTCTGTCGAGACAATGAATTCCACTTCTCAAGAAGTCTATCCTTAATAAGGGACTGAGTAGGTGTAAGGGGTTCATGGTAAACCAATTCTGTTAGTTCTCCCAATACGTGGTAGTCGCAGACGTTGACATCGCATTATCCAATCATGTTGTTTTTAGACCATCCTGGTATGAGCTCATTCTCGAATCATTACATTTTCCAACAAGATGTGGCTCCAAGCAATAGATCTCACAAGAGTGTCAAATGTTTAAAAGAAAATGTGCCTAGATTCATCTCCCTAATCACTGCCTCCCCCAGATCATATGATCAACCAACATATGTGACTACCACGTATGGGGAGAACTAACAGAATTGGTGTACCATGAATCCTTTACTTCAATTCAGTCTCTTGAGAACAGAATTGAATTAATGAGAAGTGAAATTCATTGTCTTTAACAGCATATCAATGATGCTATTGGCCAGTTTAGGCCAAAATTGAGTGTTACAATTGATCAAAATGGTGGACATATTGAACATTTGTTTATGTAAATAAAGTTGACAATAAACTTTGTTTTTGCAAGTTTTGGAAAACCCGTTTTGAAATGAAAATGACGTCATTTTTATTATGGACGCTGGTTGACAGACATTATAATAAATTTGAACTTATGATATACCAAATTAAAGATAAGTAAATTCCCTATCCACTGGTATATAATATGACATGTTTTCATCAAGAAAATCAATATTTATTTTTGAAACACGAGTGTCCCATTTTTTTGGACCACCCTGTACATGTGAGAAGGCCATGTTGTCTCTAGCATTACATTTTTGCTTACTAAAGTGCGTTTATACATACCTGTAGGGATTCGGTTGTTGCTCCTGATTCTTTTCTTTCATTGGTTTCTTATCACTTACAGCAGACTGGGACCTCCACAAAGACCTACCACTGCTGTAGTACAAGTAAAACATAAATCATAATACACGTAAGCAGGTCATGTTGTCTCTAGTATAACATTTTTACTTACTAAAGTGCGTTTATAGTTACCTGTAGGGATTCGGTTGTTGATCCTGATTCTTTTCTTTCATTGGTTTCTCATCGCTTACAGCAGACTGGGACCTCCACAAAGACCCACCACTGCTGTAGTACAAGTAAAACATAATACACGTAAGGCAGGTCATGTTGTCTCTAGTATAACATTTTTACTTACTAAAGTGCGTTTATAGTTACCTGTAGGGATTCGGTTGTTGATCCTGATTCTTTTCGTTCATTGGTTTCTTATCGCTTACAGCAGACTGGGACCTACACAAAGACCCACCACTGCTGTAGTACAAGTAAAACATAATACACGTAAGGCAGGTCATGTTGTCTCTAGTATAACATTTTTACTTACTAAAGTGCGTTTATAGTTACCTGTAGGGATTTGGTTGTTGATCCTGATTCTTTTCGTTCATTGGTTTCATATCGCTTACAGCAGACTGGGACCTCCACAAAGACCCACCACTGCTCAGTAGTACAAAGAAACAAAAAAGGCATTATACATGTAAGAAGGCCATGATGCCTCTAGTATTACATTGTTGCTTACTAAAGTGTGTTTATACATCATACCTGTAGGGATTTGGTTGTTGCTCCTGTTTCTTTTCTTTGATTGGTTTCTTATCACTTACAGCAGACTGGGACCACCACGAAGACCAACCACTGCTGTTGTACAAAGAAACAAAAAGGCATTATACATGTAAGAATTAAGGCCATAATGTCTCTAGTATTACATTGTTACTTACTAAAGTGCGTTTAAATATACCTGTAGGGATTTGGTTGTTGCTCCTGTTTCTTTTCTTTCATTGGTTTCTTATCGCTTACAGCAGACTGGGACCTCCACAAAGACCCACCACTGCTGTAAAGTACAAAGAAACAAAAAGTCAATATATAGATACATGTAAGAAGGTCATGTTGTCTCTAGTATTACATTGTAGTATAAAGGACACGTTGTCTCTCCGGCGTTATAATTGCTAAGGATGTTTGAAATACTGCAAAAGTTTCAAACATTACCTGTCTATGCGCCTGTCGAAGTCGTGCATAGGTTGTTGCTCACGTTTTTCTTCTTTTGATGGCCTCGCAGCTTGAATATGCTCGATTTTCTGAACCGTGCCTTCATTGCTCTTCATCGAACTATTTACTTTAGTTCCCGAGTTATTTAATTTCTTGTCCTTTTTCACCCCATGCCACCATTTCGACGAATTTTGTATTTCAGATGTGCCAATATCTTTTGTTGCAACATTGACCTTATTGTTTTCAGTCAGACGGTCCTTTTCTATTCTTTCTAAATTGCTTTTTAACTCAGCTAAATTTATTTCCATAGCATTCTTTTCGTCCTCTAACTTTATGATAGTGTCTTTGTTTGATTTTAATGTTCTCTCGTATTCACTTGCCATGTCTTTTGCTCCCTTCAACTCCTTATTCGTTTCTTTCAAGCTGTTCCGTAATTGGCAATATTGTTCGGTAAGCTGAAAATGGTTACCTCTTACTGTGTCGATTTGAATTTCCATTTCTGTCATTTTTGTTCTCAGTGTTTTCTTTTCTTCTTCTAATATTTCAATCGCTTCATGTTTGATTCCCAATATACGATCGTGTTCAAGTGACATCTCATCCACCCCTTGAACCCCTTCTTGCATTTCTTTCCATTCCTTCTTCAAGTGAAAATTCCTTTCCGAGAGGTTCTTCAACTCACTGGTGCTATGATTAAGTTCTTTTGTCAACCTGTCGATTTCGCTATTCTTTCTCTCGTGTTCTTTACGAAAATGTGCATTAGTCTGTATCAAATCTATATTTTGAGTTTCAAGGCTCCTGTTCCTCGCTGCAACATCATCACTCTCACACTTAACTTGGTGCATGTATCGATGTTCCTCGTGATCTTTCTCCCAAGTGTCGTGAACAAATTTATCAAGTTCTTCCCACTTTTTGACAAATTCATCTCTGTTCTCGAATTTCGCCTCCCAATATTCCCTCTGAATGTGACCGAGATGTCCATATTTCTCTTCCAGTTGGTTGTACAAAAGTCCAAGGCAGTTTAGATCCTTCTGCAGAGAGGCTTTTGATTGGTTCTCATGTTTCATCTTCTCAATCAACTCCCTGATTTGTTTCCCGAGCTTGTTGATTTCAGCATCTTTCGTCTTACAATCATCGCAGCTCTTCTCTTCTTTCTTGTCTACTCGGCAGCAACTAGTTTGCACCGTATTCTTTGATTGTTCCATCCTGATATGAATTTATGATGTAGGCCTAACGCTAATCGCCAATGGAGAGTAGATCTTTAGTGATTTCAAGTATCTTCCTAAGAAATTGTAATCTGAAAAAAGAACCTGATATTAGAATCTTTTCTTTTACCAGTGACAATTTGTGACACAAAGGTGCAACCTTTTTAGCCTTTTTTTAGATTACTTTTTCAATTATGATCGCATCATTTCAAACGTGTCATTTCTACGTCATGGCTTGAAAGCTTTCTTTTGATTGTTTACAATTATAACTTTATCAGTTCACATGGCGAAACATTTAGTTAAGCTGAAATCGTTGGTTTATCAAAAACGAAACTTGAATTTTGGTCACCATCTTGAAGTGATACTAACTGCAGCGGAGTCATCCATGTGTGCCGACAGTGATATTGAATGATCCAATGTTTGCCCCCTCTCTACCATCGCCCATTTAACGTTACATGGTCTTACACAGTAACAAGAACATACTGGGGGAGCTACAATCCTGAATGACCTTCAGAATTCCACACTAAATTGTACGTTATTTGAAGCGGCCATAGACTATTCAAGCTCAATCGCGGAGACTTATTGTTACAATGTGTTATTGTACCAATGGTTTATCCCTTATAATTTAAGTTTAGATATGATTATCATTCCATGGAAGAGCTTCTTACCTAATCTTTACGTCGGAAATTCTATTCAGGCCAAGTTCCTAAAAGATGGAGATGGGCAGTGAGTAGGGGATTCCCCTTTATGAAAAATACCAAGGAGTCATAAATTCCATGAAAGCTTTCTATTCTAATGAATAGATGGCAGGCTAATACTGGTCTACTGCTGGTACATTACGTATATGTACGTACTGGCGTTCGTGTAGGATCATGAAAGAATAAAATGTACACCATCTCATAGGAAATTTGTCTTTCGCATCCAATTTTACGCCATGTTCATCTAATAATTCTACATAATCAAAATTGAGAGCAATTAATTTTGAGTTTTCATAAATTATCTTAATGTAGACAACACATTTGATTTAATATATGGTGTCAAAATACAGATTTGCAAAGGAACTTAGAACTCTTATTAATATTCAAGAACCTCAAAACAGAATTAACTTAACATAAATGCAATATTTATTCATGAAAATATGAAAATGTATATATTTCTGGATAACATTATAATTAACAAACTACACATATTAATACAAACTACAAATATGAATACAAACTACATACAGTTCACTACAATAGATAGCTATACAAGATCAAGCATCGAAATAGCTGTTATTTTAAAAAATTTCAAAAGTTCCTAAATACCTAAATTGGATGAATTATTAATTACATTATAGAACCCATTAATAATAATTTTATAAATATTAATTCCACTTTACTTGAGATCAATTTCGTTCATTTTGAATGATGTCATTAAATTGTAAACTTTTTCTTATTACATATTCAATACAGATATAAAATGCAACAAAAAGCGTAAAATATGTTTTACATAATAGCAGGAATCTCTGCATTGTTTCCTACATCACAACTTAACTCATTTCTGATTCTAACTTCTCATTCACTACACAAGTATGCAACAAGAGTTTCTTTATACGACAAGTATTCCAGGCCCCTAGTAAGTAAGCCAAGGGAGGAGGTCACTTTCAAAAAATTCTAGGGGGTTCACATTTGAAAACTTTGGTCCAAAATCCCTTTAAAAGTGCCCAGAATGGTACAAAACTGCATGATTTTGAATTTTTTTTGGCAAAGTGGGTTAACCCGAATCCCCTGGCTATGGGCCTGAGTATGCAACAAATGTTTCTCTTCAAGACAAGTTTTCCAAATCTCACACTCTTCCAGGAATACAGTATGTGTCGCAATGTGCACCATCTTTGACCTCCAAGGTGTCATAAAACACTACAGGTGTCACAATAATGAAGTTAGAACAACTGGAACCTTGTGAATCGAGCGAGATGAGTGTGCACTGCAAATAAAACTTTCCAGTAAATCATGCCAACTCATGCAACTATTGGATTGGATATGATGTTATTGGTTCAGTTTTACTCAAAATATGGGATTGATTCCTTGGTTGGTAATGTTACCATCCAGTGGGCTCAAAATGTGAAAAGTCAAAATCTCCAGAATGAGGCAATAAGATGCCAGCATCAATAGTGTAACTACCTGCGTGGACCTCGATAAAATGGATATATGAGTATTGGTTTGGACAAATGTGAGTTTTCAGTTATCCAAAAATCATTGACAAGGGCATTATAAATCTCTGGTTGAATAAAAGAGGGCAGGATTTACTGGAAAAGTCTGCTGCACAGGTATGCAATAGCTTCCCAAAAATGAAAGCTACTATACAGAAATGTTATCTCTTTATGAAAGTGCTTTGGCAATATATACCATCAGAGTACAGGGTGACCCAAAATAAACAGAACTCGGAACGTTTACTCAGAGACCTGTGGGTTCTGTTGTGGTTCACCCTGTATTTCAAGAATTTCTGAAACTGAGCTAGGATTTTGGCTGTTTGGACTTCCACTGCTTTTGGCCAGTTAAAGGAATACTCCACCCAAATTATTTCTGTCTTTACAATTGTATTTTTCTTGAGGCTACCTTTAAAGACATACCATGTCCAAGACTTTTACAAAGAAATGATAAAGTGATAATTAGCCTATTTCCTTATCAATTTCTGAACATATTAAAATGGGCCTCATTACTTATTTCTAGACACTAATATTTTGGGTGAAGTATACCATATTTACATACGTTTAAAATTTTAACATTTGGCCACATCAATCATACTGTGATATTAATGTGCAACAGTAGACATGAGTTTTCTGTCATTTCAATAAGAAGATCAATAGTGAAAACTACACATAAATAATATGTGTGGACATATCTAAATTTACATGTGTCCATGTTGTAATAATATATGTGAGATCTAACATGAACATACAATTTATGATTTAAATTTACACAAATTCTAAATAAACAACTATATCATTCACTGTTACTACCATAGGTACAGTAAAACCTGTATATAGTGAACACCTATGGAGTCACAAAAAAGTGTTCACTGTAAGTAGGTGTTTACTGCAGAGATTTTATACAGTCAATGTAAAATGTCTTAAAGCGGTGTTCACTAAACACAGGTGTTCACTAAGACAGGTTTTACTGTCTAATGTATCCACCACAAGTGGAGACATCTTTTTACTACCATTTAAGATTTACATTCATCCCTCTGTATTCTTTTGCTCAATGTAATCTAATGTATTGTATGTGTTACATGGCTAGTAGAAAAAAATCTATTACAAATCAGATCCCCAGCGTAGAGGCTACTTGACACAACAGGATCAATAGGATATACAGGGCCCACATGGCATAATGGTCCCATATATGAAAGCTACAGGACCCATACAGCATACAGGATTCAAATATGACCCATCATCTAATATACAAGATGGTAGCATCACATGTTCCAGCGAAAGTGTAGATTATTATACACTATATTTCTACACATATGCAATTATGCATTCATTCTTATAACACTATGATTTATTGTCAAAAGTCATTTCTAAAGTGATTATATACAGTAAATATATATAATAGGTGGGGATCAATGTTCAATTTGCTGTATATTCATATAATTATTGTACATAAATTATAATTGTGAACATTTCGATTTATATTACATTACATGTATTTTTATTTAATAGTACATCTGATAACTACTCAGATTTGAGTGTCTACTCAAGTTGTTATAGGTGTCTACAAAAGTGGGTTGATGTTTTAACAAATTTAGTATGGATGTAAACTGATTAACTGCATTAATTTTGAGATCTCAAATATTAACATGACTGAAATATACATTTGTCACCATGTAGTACAAAGCACTTACTATTTTAACCAGAATTTAATTCTGTTTACCCCTAGACCATTTCATGTATCAGCATCATTTTCAGAAATAAATTCACAACAGATATCTTCATTTACCAGACTGTCACATAACTGTACCATAGCTAAGGGGTACCCCTTGCCCCATGAATTCACTATAGATATCGTCATAACCTGATTGCAACATTACTGTGCTTTGATGTTCTACGAGACTGGTGGTTATAGATGGCGCTTTACTCGGGCTGTGACCATTTGTTCCATTCACACACACAGGGAGACCAGTGTAAGTATTCCGGATAATTGGATCTGAAGTGCACAAAAATGAAGAGATTTAAATTGAATTCAGAAAAATCTACTTTGAAAGACAAAAATAAGGGGCTGTGTGGTTTTTCTCTGGTTGCTTCTAGACTGTGTCTCAATTCAATGTAATTGTTTCACAGACTGGTTGCAAACAGGTTTGTCCATCACTGGACCATGAAGGTTGAACAAATAGTCACAAGACGCCCTAAAACAAGTAAATTACATTCAATTATGACATCATTTATTACAATTCTAATATACAATATATAGGTTTTTCAAAGGAAATGAATTCTTGAACTGTACATTCTCTTTTAATATCACTGCTCACTATATTTTCCCTAAAACAATCAATTAAAATTTCTGGAAAATGCCAGAAAAGGTAAACATTTATACACGTTTGTATGTATACAAGTGAACAACACTAAAACCAATGCAAAATGCATATAATGATAACATGGCAAATATAATTCTAACACATCATTTGTACATATGTATGCTGGCTAACATTATATTCATAGGCCTACATAAAATCATAAAAATCAAACAGGATTTCTAAATGTAAAAAATGCAAGTTCAATTTCAAATAGTCAAGTTCTGATCTTACTGATTCTGATTATCAAGTTTAGATGTTTGGCAAATATAGATAACAGCCAAACTTCACAAATGTCACTTTCCAATGATGTCCAATGACTTAGCCTCACAATTTAACTCTTAACTGATTGTTTGTTGGAGGTAAGTTTTAGTTGAGGTTGGATCACCATAATGTTTGTTCCTCAAATGTTATGTTAGACCTTACGTTCACTTTGGATGAATTCAGTTGAAGTTGAATTTCCAATAACATTGAAAATACCAAGAGACATTTTGAGACATACAATATGACTATGTCAGACATACAGTATGCCTGTAAATGATTGACTGTAATGTTAGTCTTTGGATAAATTCAGCTAAAATTGGATTTCCATTAACATTTATAAAACCAAGAACATTTTTGAAACATATACAGTATGTCTCTCTATCAGACATACAATATGCCTGTAAATAATTAAATGTAATGTTAGACTTTGTATGCACTTGGGTTAAATTCAGTTGAAGTTGGATTTCCAATAACATTGATAACTAAACACCAAGGAACATTTTGAGACATATACATTATGTTTCTTTATCAGACATACAGTTTGCCTGTATAAGTAAATGATCAAAAATAATGTTAGACCTTGCGTTCAATTCAGATAAATTCAGTTGAAGTTGGATTTCCAACAACATTGATAACACCAAGAAACATTTTGAGACAAACAATATGACTCTATATCAGACATACAGTTTTCCATATATAAGTAAATGATCAAAAATAACATTGGTAATGCTAAGAGATGGTTTCAGACATAAACAGTATGTCTGTTAATATGCATGCTATCCCAATGTTACAATTAGACCATGTGTGAGACCATGGATGAGTAGAACACACTGTCCCTTCCTGTAGCAGAGTCTCCATTCTGTCCCTGGTGTTCAACATCTGCTGGTACAATATGCCCATTCATTCCAGTCATCTGCATGGTGTTCACATGTGCAAAGTTTGCACCATTTGCAACTGGCACACCAGCTGAACGATGAACAAACGTAAAATCTGCAAAGAAGCAGAATTGGATAGATGAATGATTATTTAGTGCCTTATCTAATAAAACAGTCATCTTAGTGGTTCTCTGAGCTTCCCTGTTGTGTTGATTGTCACATCAGATTCCATGCCCTGTCAGGCCTATTTCTTTGCCAGGGTATTCACAAGCATTGTTGATACTGTCACTTCCAATCAGGGCCACGTGTAAGTTTGGGAAGGTAGGTACCTCCTTTGTGTCTGTAATGATACAGAGATACATCCAAGGTTAGTAGTAAGCAAGGCAATATCCAAAGGAGGATCTATCCCAAAAGTCCAACAGGTTAAAGCAATTGTTTTATTACCATCCCATTAGTCCTACACACAGCCACATTAGGGTTAAGCTGGTAATAGCACTATGATGCCCAACGACTGTATGATGTCACAAGTATAGTAAATATGATATTCCAAATCCATTCAAAGTACAGTGTATGACGGGTTAGTACCACAAGCATTAAACATGTTAGATGTATTATGAAATATTATATATAATGGCCGAACATTCCCACACATTTAGCTCGATATTCCTTGGCATTTTTAGTGTCCCAATCATGCTTCACCTCACGGTTCATCTCTGTTTCATTGTTAAAATTAATCTCCGAATCTCCCATTGCAATCATATTGGTCTCACCAATATCACTGTTATGTAGGAACTCGGGGGCTTCTAGAAAAGACAGGCAGAGATGATGTTGTTATTTTAATTGTTCATGGATGAAAACATGAGTATAGACTAGGGGTCACACGGTTAACCGTGGCTTGCGGTTACCGCGGTTCATACCTCCACGACGGTTAGCTCGCACACAATCTTGAAAACCGCGGTTCTTGAAGAACCGTGACATTTTCAGTTTCACTTCAGAAAAATAAAAATGTAAACTCGGAATTAAACTCCATTTCAAGCTTTCGTGTAATACCAATTAACTAAACATCGTCTGGAATCGTTAATCATCATGCAATAATGCGAACCATACCTGATATTTACGACGATCTTCTGATATAGACGGCAGATAACAAAAACAAAAGGAAAATGTTGATAAATTTCACCGGCATATTGACCCGGAAGTGACCTACGCTAAACATTTCGCGCAATCCTATTGGTTGATAGAACAGTATACTGTAAAAAGCCGAACGCCGAATGCATTGAATTTGCGAACGAGTCACGTTCTGTGTATTACATTCGCCTTTGATCCACGTTGAGTCCTGACAAAGTGTTGAACTTAAGTTATATTTCTAAAGAAAACATTTATTCAGTTTAGTGAAGTACTGTGCTAATTTTGCCAACAGTTGACAAGTTATTTTATGTGTTGAAAAAACTTGGACATCAAACAAGAAGATCAACACAGTGAACACACAGATATTTTGGGAGGGAGGAAGGGAAAAAAGACTGAACAAACAAACAAACATTGTGTGAAACTGGATACTTACAATACTGAATACAATAAAACACTGTGACACACTTAGTATGTTTTCTGATTTTCGGATCAATTTCATATATTTTTGCTCATTTCACGAGGCCCGTGAGAACCGCAATCAGAACCGAACCGAACTGTGAAATACAATCACCGAACCGAACCGTGAAATCTCAAACCGTGTGACCCCTAGTATAGACCATCTATTGAAACATCATCAAGGCTTACAGACATGAAGACAATAATGAAGGCATTCACATTTTACATGGTACATGCACATAAATCTTTTTTAATAAATAAACATAAGAACTGGTCATTATTTGTCAAAACAGGCAAACTGATTGGGAAACTGGGAAATTATTCAAAATTTTGAAAATTACTCAAAACAACAGGCAATTTTGGTAAAAGCAACAAGGAGAAAAGCATGTGCTGTCTGTTCCCAATGATTGTAAATTGAGGTAAATGGTATTACAGGTGTGAATAGAGAGAGGGGCAAGCAAGAAAACAGGTAGATCAAAAATGAAGACTGAAGAAACATGTAACAGAGGGATTTGCATAACTAGTATTTAACATTCTGCAAAATAAAGAAAAAACCCTTGGAACTGAAAAATGAATCAGATCAAAAACATGCATGAATTTCAAAACCTGTATGTTTACAAATAAAAGGGGAGGTTTAAAACAGAAATGGTTATTTGCTCCCAGGTCCAAAGGTCCACGTTTATATCAACTTAATTTGGAAGGCAAACAAACTTTAATGTTAAACAAACATTCTGAAATTCAAAATAACACAACATGAGCATGTTACATATTAAATGATGAACGAATGATTTATAATTTGTATTTAGATGTATTTACTCGTATACATTTGAAAGATAAACATTTATGAATTTAGTTGATTTAAAATGGACCAAGGGCATGCAAGCAAATACCTCAAATAGCGAAACACTGGTAGGCGTGACATTTTGTAGGCATTTGATCAACTATGCCAACAGGGCGGGTCATCGGCTCAGCTGAAACTGCTAAAATAGACTCATATGGCTGGAGGTCTTGCGCTTCAAAGTTCATGTCCTCAATGGGGCTTTCTTCAACAGGTTTGAAGAGCAATGGGTTAAACCACTGCTCTGGTTCTGTGAATACAGCATCTGAAAGAAAAGTTACGTGGAAGCATCCAAAGCATGGCAAACAGATACAAACAGATTTAGGCAAACTTTCAAAAGATAAGAGCCAAAGAATAACTCAAATGGTTAAAATATCCACTTTCATAAATTTCCAGTATACCTAAATTCAAACAGGAAATATAATTTGAAAATATTCAATGATTGGTAAGGGGCCAAGTCAGTGTTTCATTAAAGTATTAATCATTTAAAATTCCCATTGCTTTTAGCTTTACAAGTCCAGCCTTTTACCTCATTCCCAAAATGAAAATTTTCACCGATACCTGACCCGACCCCTTTAAAAAATATCTAAAGTTATACCTCCTCGTCTCATTCTTTTAGGACCCTCTTCCTCTACATCCTCTCTGGACCTTTTTTTCCCAGCGATTGGCACACAATTCCTCGCAACGTCATTATGGAGCATGATGTCACCAGATTGAGCACCGTTCATTTCCTGAGTTGATGTTCGTTGTGCGATATGTTCATTTCTCGCATCTCCATGACCATTTTGTGCATGTGGGAGAAAACCATTTTCATGATGGTTGCTAGCTCCGTTTAGTCCATTTGAGCTAAATGCATCACCAGATCCATTATGCATAGGTTCAATATGGAACCCATTTTGACCATTTGTGTGAGTATCAGTTTCAGGAGATTCTGTCTCCATAGAGTCCATATCTGCATCCTCATGGTGGCCAGACTCGGGAATATCAGCTCCATTATGCGCTGGTGGTGGTAACAAACCACCATTAATAGCCTGATTGAGGACACATTTTTCCGCCATGACAGAGGCCTGCTCAAAATTCACATGCGGACTGAGATCCTGGGTTATACCACTGAGGTGCTGACGTTTCTCGTAATATTGCGTCATGGTTCTTTCAAGGTATGCCGAACACTCCATGTATCCACAGTTCTTACTGACTTGGCTGGGAGTGTGACCATTGTTGTTCTTAACACTGAAAACACAATATCATAATAACACTTAACTTGTTGTATTCCTTTGTTACTGTGATATTCTAAAGGATATCATGTGTAAGTACTCATTTAAATTACTTGGGATTTTATTGCATTTTTTATTATTTCTTTTTCAGATATTGAATTTTGCAATCACTGGCCTTGTCCACTTAATGTCAAAAATCTTTTTTTTGTCCTCATGGTTTTTATCACATTTTGAATCAGGTGTTGTATGTATCAAATAAACTTTCCCATCAGTTGTTATTATTAGCCTTTGAACATGCGGTTTTCATAGGAGTATGAGTACTAAAATAATGAGCTAAGTGTAATTTCAGATACCTGTACTTAAAATCGCTAATAGCTTTTATGTAATATGACATTAATGCACTGCGACTGGTGTGCTTTTATTAAATAACTACTGTAATCATAAAAGCTCACTTTACGAATCCACATAATCAGTCTTTCCAAAAGCTCAGTTATATTTAATATTTTCCATTTTGAAATATTTTTCTGATTAGAAACATATACAGGATTATTCTAGTTTGAATCAAAATATCTAGGGAAGTTTAAGTCAATATAAAAATATCAAAGGCTAATAAAAACTGACCCCTCTAAACCATCTCTCGAACCAACCCCTCTAACCAAATAGACATGTACCACAAATGTAGGAAAGAAGACTCAAATCAAAGAAATATTTTAATAATGCACATATGTACATTGTACATGTGTATTTGTTTTCAAAGTCAGTCTCATACACAGCTTCTAAAAACCTCAGATTAATGAAATTTTCCTGTAACTATCCATTTTACTGTGGCACCTCTCAAGGGGGAGGGGGCTGTAGGGGGTATCATAAGTTGTGTTTACAAGTAGGCTAGAGCAAGGACATCATTCTTTTAATTTGTCTGAATCTAAATCAACTTGTTTATTCTTTAATGGCCCCATTCTAGGTTTAAAAAAGTTTTTATCATTCATTAGCTACTTTTCTTGACTTTAAAAGTTATATAGGGCCTTTAATTTTATATAACAATATGTCTCCAATTTTGATATGTGTCTATGCGATTTTTGTTAAAAATATATTTTCAAGCTAAATAGGCAATTAACAAAACTGTGCATGACTGTCTAAATAGAATACAGCAATACTCAATAGTCCAATTTATGTCAATTTGACATTTTCCACAGGCTCAGGTTTCATCAAGTTGAGATGGAGCCACACTTGGGAAAATATGTCATATTAACAACACCAAGCTTAAATAACCTCATGATAGGCTAAAACTGCTCATGTTTCTCTCACAAGACAGACTGCCTGGAGCATCTTACTATTTTGTTCTTTTTTATAGGTGCAGACAATATCTTTGGTCTTAAAAACAGAACTACTATACCACATTTAGCCTAAGATAAATCACTTTTAGAAATAGTTGCAATTAATTTCAACAAAGAAGAAAAATACAAGTTACATGATGTTAGAGCAGTGTTACATTCAAAGTCAAGCAGGAAATGTTTAAAATGAAAAGTGCAATGAAAGTTTTTGAAGAAGTTGGAAATTAAATATATTGGTAGTAGATCGTGGAATTGTGACTAGTATATATTATAATGTCAAAAAACAAGGACAACCTCATCAAGAAAATAGGCAACTATAGGCATCTAGCACAGTGATCAATATCATTGAATATCAAAATTGATAAATATAGAACTTACTCTAAAGTGGCACCGTGTGATGTGAGGAGGCTGACACATTCAAGGCTTCCAGTGCGTGCAGCTTTGTGTAGAGGTGTTTCCCCGAGGTAGTCCTACAAAAGTTCAAAAAGAAGTTATTAACAATCACACAGTATCACTAATGGTTACAAAAGTGTAATAAATTGTTGCAGTTGCCAAATGTGACCATTGTCACAGATCTGAAGACCTAAATCCTATGACAAAATCATGTATGGCAGCAGAGAGTATGACATAATCCTCTAATATGACAGTGAAAAGTATGACAAAGTCCTATGACAGTACAGAGTATGACAAAATCCTATATGTCAGTACAGAGTATGACAAAATCCTATATGTCAGTACAGAGTATGACAAAATCCTATATGTCAGTACAGAGTATGACAAAATCCTATATGTCAGTACAGAGTGTGACAAAATCATGTATGACAACAGAGAGTATGACAAAATCCTATATGTCAGTACAGAGTATGACAAAATCCTCTAATATGACAGTGCAAAGTATGACGAAGTCCTATGACAGTACATAGTATGACAAAACCTATATGTCAGTACAGAGTATGACAAAATCATATATGTCAGTACAGAGTATGACAGAATCCTCTAATATGACAGTGCAAAGTATGACAAAGTTATATGACAGTACAGAGTATGACAAAATCCTATATGTCAGTACAGAGTATGACAGAATCCTCGAATATGACAGTGCAAAGTATGACAAAGTCTTATGACAGTACAGAGTATGACAAAATCCTATATGTCAGAAGTACAGAGTATGACAAAATCATATATGTCAGTACAGAGTATGACAAAATCATGTATGACAGCAGAGAATATGCGCAATCCTGTATGTCAGTACAGAGTATGACAAAATCCTATATGACAGTGCAAAGTATGACGAAGTCCTATGACAGTACAGAGTATGACAAAATCCTATATCAGTACAGAGTATGACAAAATCATATATGTCAGTACAGAGTATGACAGAATCCTCTAATATGACAGTGCAAAGTATTACGAAGTCCTATGACAGTACAGAGTATGACAAAATCCTATATGTCAGTACAGAGTGTGACAGAATCCTCTAATATGACAGTGCAAAGTATGACAAAGTCTTATGACAGAACAGAGTATGACAAAATCCTATATGTCAGTACAGAGTATGACAAAATCATATATGTCAGTACAGAGTATGACAGCAGAGAGTATGACAAAATCCTGTATGTCAGTACAGAGTATGACAAAATCCTATATGTCAGTACAAAATATGACAAAATCATGTATGACAGCAGAGAGTATGACAAAATCCTATATGACAGTGCAAAGTATGACAAAGTCCTACGACAGTACAGAGTATGACAAAATTCTATATGACAGAACAAAGTATGACAAAATCCTATATGAGAGAATTGTACATGATGGAATTGTTTATGACAGAATATTTTGGATTTTAATGATGGCCTAGCATATGGATGCTTTTTAGCAAATTAGGTAACTGCAAAAAGTTGTTTATAATCATAACATCAACCTAGTGGGAGGTTTTTATTTACTGCTCATCAACATGAATCAACATGACCAAAAATAACTTCAGACTTCAGAGGCAGTCAGTTCATAGTACAATATTTTGTTTAGGTATTGCTAAGGTCAGATGATAAATACCACTATAAAAGGCTCATTTTGATGCATGTCTTTTCCTGGAGCTCATTGCAAATATATGAATATATCCGAGTGATCCAAGTCATATCATTTATTATACTGTAAGTGGTTGAGGGATTCATTTGATTCTGTATGATGACTTGGATTTTCACAAAGTCTGTCTTTAAGTTATTATTTAACTGGAATAACAGGAATATTCAACCTCAACCTTTTTTCCTGTTGTGATGAGATTATTCTCATTTTTTTACAATGATAACCCACACTGCCTAGAGTTTTTTCAACATTTAAGATGTTTGTAACTTCACTATTTTGATAGAAAGTTGAACGCTGATCTCAGGAGACTTTACTTTGTAATACTTGTTCGAGAATCTTTGATCATTAAGCCATTTAAAAGTTTTTGTTTTCATAATACCAACTTAAGATTGTAAAAATGTATCATTATATTTCTCATTGTCAAGTATTGGTAAATCGGTTCCATTCAGATAAGGGAGAGGGTTTGAGCCAATATTTAAATCCTAGGTAGGTCAGCACCCACTTAGCACTAGTGCCAATGCCTGTTAAACCCTGATGCGATATTCCTAAGGGCCTCAGATATGAAGCATGTGTAAACATATGGATTTGACTATGTCAGTGCCATAATAGAATGAATAGATTTTCATAGTCACATGTTCGAGGATACCAAACTCAAAATTACATACATCTCTATAGCTCACGTTGATTAATTAATAATGGCTTTAACAAAAGTGAAGGAATTGATCATAAGAAACAGCATCCCTTCATGCTGATAATCATTAATTATTTACAGAATATTGGTAGGTTTCTTCTCAGTATTTTGAATTACCAGGCTCTGTTTTTGAAACCATCGTCACTTACGATTTGGTCGCATGTCATTGTTTGTCAAAAAAGTAGACAATGGTTTTCTTGGAATTGTAAGGGATTATCGTAACAAAAAACAAACATCAGAGGACAAAAGACTAATTAATCAAATTATCAGTTAACACTCAGTAAAACTCTTCGAAACACAAAATCAAACTCTAGTTGAATTCCCTCTTGAAAAGATACATTTGATCTTACTCTCAGCAAAACACTATTCCATTTCTCACCCATCCTCCCTGAACTATTCCCTCCATCTTGTATTTCAGCATTGGAAATGGGGAGGGGGTGTGTAAAATGCAAAGAATAAATTGCCAATCTTGACCAATTTACTCATACCAATATTTTCAGCTAAATGAATCAAAATAGACAATATAAGACATGTCTTTGGAATTATCAAAAAAGAAACTATGCAGTTTAACATTGAGACTCTGACTCTGAGCCCCCTCTCCCTTACACTGTCTGCAGAGGTAAGGTATTAATGAGTTGGGAGAGAGGTGGAAGGGAAAAGATAAAAGCAAGACTTGTCACTGCTCCTAATTACAGTAACACCTGTCTGATGCAAACACGACAGGGACTTGCCAAAAATATTCGGATTGGCGTATGTTCACACTTCAAGTTTTTTTACCTTTTTTACCATGGAAGTCTTTGCCAGATTAAAAAACTGAACTAAAACAAGAGATCATTTTAAAACAAGGCACAGACGTGAACAATATCGTACCTAAAACACAGCATTGTGGTCTTGTTGACCAAGAAAGCAAGATGGCCGCAGAAAAGTTAATCAGCTATAGAACTTATCACTGTGTAACATATGTAAAAATTTGAACGGTTTGGCTGGAAACCTGTAGACAAGCCTCGATAGACAAGATTTTAGGACGGAAAATCTAAAATGGCAGCCTTAACATCTACCCAGAATGCCCAAAAACTAATCAGTTCTTGACGTTGATATGTAGAAACATCCCTGAAAATTTCAGATGAATCCCTCAAATGGTTTGGCTGGAAACCTGTAGACAAGTCTTGAAAGTGAAGATTTTAGGACGGAAAATCCAAAATGGCCACCTTAAAATTTACCCAGAATGCCCAAAAACCAATCAGTTCTTGATGTTGATATGTAGAAACATCCCTGAAAATTTCAGATGAATCCCTCAAATGGTTTGGCTGAAAATCTGTAGACAAGTCTTGAAAGTGAAGATTTTAGGACAGAAAATCCAAAATGGCCACCTTAAAATTTACCCAGAATGCCCAAAAACCAATCAGTTCTTGACGTTGATATGTAGAAACATCCCTGAAAATTTCAGATGAATCCCTCAAATGGTTTGGCTGAAAATCTGTAGACAAGTCTTGAAAGTGAAGATTTTAGGACAGAAAATCCAAAATGGCCACCTTAAAATTTAACCAGAATGCCCAAAAACTAATCAGTTCTTGACGTTGATATGTAGAAACATCCCTGAAAATTTCAGATGAATCCCTCAAAAGGTTTGGCTGGAAACCTGTAGACAAGTCTTGAAAGTAAAGATTTTAGGACGGAAAATCCAAAATGGCCACCTTAAAATTTACCCAGAATGCCCAAAAACTAATCAGTTCTTGACATTGATATGTAGAAACATCCCTGAAAATTTCAGATGAATCCCTCAAATGGTTTGGCTGAAAACCTGTAGACAAGTCTTGAATGTGAAGATTTTAGGACGGAAAATCCAAATTGGCCACCTTAAAATTTACCCAGAATGCCCAAAAACTAATCAGTTCTTGACTTTGATATGTAGAAACATCCCGTCAAGCTGACTACAATATCATACCTCTTGTTAGGTACGATAAAAATGAAGGCTCGTGTGAAGGAGATGTTTGCAGTGTTGTAATGAATTGTATTGATAAATAGGGATGCATACTTTTAACGCGATTGTAATTTACCGAACGGCAAAAGTAGAAAAAATCCGACATTTTGAACCGATTAAGATCTTTAAATTGTGAAGGTCTGAGTACCTGGACCTCTTAGAAAACATCCAAACATATCAAAAAGTGAAGATGGGTCAATTTGATTTTCGTTCTCCGAAGATATTAATAAAATAGTTAAATGTTCGGAGTTTTTTTAATGCTGTAAATTGTTCACAATTCTAAACCAGAACAACGGCAACGCCAAAGCGTAGCAAATCCCATCGAACAGCCATAGATGGCATTTTTACAAACAAAGTATATAGCAAAAATGGCAGGCATTTTTCAAAATGGCCGCCTTCTACCAAAAGTGTCATTAGACCATTTGCCATACTTATAGTATTCACATACCAAATATGAACAAAATCGCTCCACTTCTTTTCGAGTTATAGTAAAATACATCAAAATGGCGGCCATTTTGAAAAATAGTGTCATTAGACCATTTGCCATACTTATAGTATTCACATACCAAATATGAACATAATTGCTTCACTACTTTTCGAGTTATAGTAAAATAGGTTAAAATGGCGGCCATTTTTTAAAATGGCCACCTTCTACCAAAAGTGTCTTTAGACAGTGTGCAATGTTAATAGTATTCACATACCAAATATGAACAAAATCGCTCCACTACTTTTCGAGTTACAGCAAAACTCGTAAAATAACGAGTAAAGGCCGCCATTTGTCAAGATGGCTGCCATGTGCTTCTTTAATATCTACATTTCTAGCTTTATTAATGTCCTATATAATTTTTTTACATCTAAAACATATTGCTATTACAGTTTTACATATTGCACCTAAATTACTGTAAATTCGGCACTAAAATGGCCGCCATTTTGAAATGAGCGGCCATTTTGAAAATTGGCTTTTGAGCAGAACTTCTACTCCCATGGGGTATATGTGTACAAAATATGAACAAAATCGGGCCAATGGTATTTGAGTTATTGCCCGGACGGACAGACGGACGGACGGAGGCGTTCCCTATATCCCTCCGAACTTCGTTCGATGGGATAATGAAGAAGTCACTCGTATTTCTGTCATATTTAGGAAATCAAGTTGCCGAAAATCAGTGCACAGTGCTCATGGTGTTGTTGTAAAATTACGCATATGTCATTTGAAACCCTCTCTAAAGCAATTTATTATAAACTAACACCTCAGGATTAAACTTTTGCTCAAGGAATTAACACATTTTCATCAATAAATATTAACCCATCAGGTTTTCTACTAGTAAACTAACGTTTAAACCTCAGTCCATTGTCGTTATCACTTACTACTAAACCCAAGTGAGATATGGCTCTTGCCTCAGCACAAGCCAATGAAGTGTTCAAATTGAGAAGTGTTCAGATTATAGGTGTTTGGATGTACAAAATTTACTGTACATAAATTGCTGTTTTTATTAGGTCCTTCCTCTTGAAGTCTGGTTCAATATCATGATAGGTTGGAGCTTACATGGGAAGATGGGACATATAAAGCTTAATGGCAGAAATGACACTATTGATTTGCTCTGAAGTAAAACAATGGAAAAGATTTACATTTAAAAAAAGGCAAATTCCAGTATGCTTAAAAGATAAAATAAAAAAACTTTTTTGGGTCAACATTTTTAGCGGGGCATTTAAAAAGATTTTTTCTGTGTAGCCTTCGTTTGACTTTTCAATCAAAAATCTGGTTTACCAAAACTCTCACAAAACTTGACCAGAACATTGTAGGGAGTGAAATACAAAGATTTAAAATGAGGTTTTGTTTTAACATATACAGTAGAACCTGTATAATTGGAACACCCTCCGTTGTACCAAAAAGCGTTCCACTTAGGAGATGTTCCACTTACAGAGGTTTTGGGTACACAGGGATTTAATGAACATACAAATTTATCCAAATTTATCATGTTATTACCTATTTTCATACCCAGATACCACTGTAGGAGGTTAATTCTGTTTGTTTTTATATATATATTGAAAGTTGACTGTTCCACTTAGCAAGTTAAATTTTCAATATGGGATGTTCACTGTTCAAGTTTGGAGGTGTTCCACCTACAGAGGTTTAATTAACATTAAGTCAATGGGTTTTTAAAACGGGACTTTGAAAAAGCGTTCCACTTGCGAGGTGCTCTACTTACAGAGGTGTTCCACTTAACAGGTTCTACTGTACTTAAATTTTACTTCAATTGTAGCCCCTAGTCCCAAGAGTGCTCCCCTCCATCAACATTTATCATACCAAAAGAGGAAAAGGATACATGTAAACCTGACTATGAGTATTCAACCCTGACATGTATTTGTGATATTATTACTTAGCCCAAGAATGTTCTCATTATTTATAAAATACAATAATAGTCATTCTTCTAGAATCTCTTACACTTGTAAAAACAATTCAATGCCTATGGATACCCTTTATTATTGACAAATTTGCATTTTAGATGAAATACCCTGATTTTAATGATATTCTGAATTATCAACTGGGTGCAAAATGATTCTTGATTCGTTTCAAGTATATTTTCAAATTTTTAATTTTATACAATCATTACCTATTTGCTTAAAAATATGAAGGAAAACATAGAAAACTGATGTTGAGGATCATTTTAGAAGGAAAACATCAGTTACATCAGCTCTAATGTTAATCATTTCCTTAAAGGTAAATCCACTTCAAACAAGCACTACATGTCAATGTAACCTTTAACCCCTTGACTACCCAGAGTGTTGGGGTTCCACTCCTATCAGTGATAAGCTATTCTTCAAAATATTAGCTTCCAACTCCAATGCTGCTTCCTTTTTGGAATTGGACCTCAAAACCTGAAATTATGGGTCAAAATCTATGATTTCCCTAGTCTATCAGAAAAAGCTGCCCCTGTGCCCAGTAATGACCCTCAGTTACCCGCGCAATTTTACTCAAATAGATCAATGTTTAGACCTCCTCCTACGGGACGAGGCTGCTAAACTGTAATATAGTATGGCAGAGGGTAGTTTTAACTACACATAGACTCAGCATGCAAGATAGGTTGCTCTTGACTTACTCTAACAAAAACACACATTGTGGATCTACAATATTTATGTCACTCTGTCTTATATTCAAGACTGTTTGCATGTTGCTAAGCAGCCAGAGAAAATAAATGTGTTTTGAGTCAACAGCAACCCAATCATGTATTTATACCCTGGATTTGAGGAAACTCTTCACTCACATCAAGGAGAATTCAGGCTTTCATCCAAAGGTAATTTAAAATTTACGTGTCTTGTTTGATATTTCATTAGCAGGGGACTTCTTTTTCAAAGGTGCTTTATATGATTATTTAGCTATTTCTCCCCAGGTTTGAAGTAATGTTACATATATCTCAAATTTTGACAATAGGCTAGAGTCTATCTTTAAATAAGGCATTAAAATATAGAATGTCACCACCTGCCATTTATACAGACACCGAATCCCAAACACTAACTGCCAAACACCATCCACAAAAAAAAGTTGATGGTGACATAAAAAATGCACCTAATAGATCAGGAAATGACTGGATTGTAAAGGGATTGGGCCAATAGATCATAGATTAAAACCTCATGTTTTCAATATATGACCTGAACAATTACCTCATTTGGGAGACAAAGGGATAAATGCTGATAAAATTATTTTTCATTATCACATGACTTTAACAACAAAACAAGTAGACAAACAAATAGTGGTGTAACGAGCGACTCATGTAATCGACTAGAACACGGATGAGCCTAGAAAATGATCAATCATTTGAAAATTTGAAAATCGTGATCCTGAAAATTTCTGAAAAAAATCGTGATTTACCCTCCATACTCACGAATTAAGCAAGGATTGTAGCTGCTCTAGCGTTGTTTCTAATAAATTACATACTTCTGACTATATTCTGCAGATTGTTTTGTTGAATTAATGGTTAGTTGATGAGAATAAAGTATGAGAATCCTACTTATTATTTTTTATATTTGGTTATATATAATATCAAATGCGCATGCGCAATGAATTTTGATGGAGATGGGATTTTAGTGGTTATGAAACTAAAAGTCGATGTAAGTAGCGACAAATGCCTTGATTTGCCAGGTTCTAATTTTCTCTATTTTTTTCAAACAATCGTCAAAATCATCGACTCAATCGTCAAATTTATCATTCTACTCAGGTAGAGATTTTGGTGTCAAGTCCCACCACTACAAACAAACAAAACTCAAATGACCTCAAAGTGCCAAAATGAAAATTCATCTACCTATTTCTGTTGCACAATCTAAACATTACACCATAATTATTGACTAATAAACAAAACAGCACGCACATCTACATGTATAAGACAACACTGAAACAGGGATGTTACCTTTGCGTTCTTATCTGCCCTGGACTGAAGCAGCCACTGTACACAGTGGGGGTGTCCACCGAAAGCAGCCAAGTGGCACGGCGTTTGTTGAAACCTCGTCGTAACGATGTCACAATTTACGCCAACCCGAGTACTTTGCATAAGTTTTCTCAGGCAACACAACTACAAGAGAATAAAACAAAGTCACCATGGTAACCATACCTGTTTGCTTAATTTTGCACCGCAATGTAACAGCCATTTAAGACAGTGGGAATGTCCGCCAAATGCAGCAATGTGGGCTGGTGATTGGTTGAAGCGTACTGTAGTGGCATCACAGTTCACGCCATGTTCAAGAAGCCGCATAAGGCAGTTTAGCTAGAAAGAAATGAAGTGCATTAGAAACTACACAGTATGTGATAATTGATGGACAACACATACTGTGACATGATTCATATTCAAATGAAGATGTCTTCTGACAACCACCTATCAGGACTCTCACTCGGGTTTTAGGCTGTGAACTAGATATTCAGTATCTCCCTAACATTGAAGCAATTGGGTTTAAGGATTTTGAAAATAAGGTTACGCCCATCTGAAATTTCATTTATACCCATTTGACGATGAGACACTGAATCATGAAAAATGTGAATATATTTGACTAAATAAGGGTAGATCCTTGATAAAACCCTGGAGAGAACACTGTTTCAAGCAACAATTTCATATTCTGTGGATAATTGTTTTACTGCCAAATTATCCCTTCTAGATGCATTGCATTGATTGATAATTATTTTTAAAAAAAAATAGAAATAGATCCTGGTGAGAGCCCAGATAATTGATTTTCATCTAACACAAATATTATAAGCTCAGTGCCATCTATAGTTTCCTATTGAAATCAAGAAAGAAAAGTTTGATTGAAATGTATTAAAACATATAAATAAAACACAATCATATATACTGTAACCCAAGGTTAATTTGCCACCCAATTAAAGACAATTTGCCAAGCAAAAATGTTGCCAAATTATATGAATCACCAATTCGATTGCTTATAATCAAAAAAATATTCCATCTCTACACTGATTTAAGGCTGGTCCCCAGCCATATGCTCATTTGTTAAAAGTGTATTGTTCACAAATTAGTGTCATCAAAATTGCAATAATGTATATGTGATCTATCTAGTTCTTTAAGAGATTGTTAAGGCTTTGGAACATACTTTAACCGTAATACAATGGTATCATTTGCCAAATCAGTTGAATGCCCAAGTAATGATAGGTTACAATATATACTCAGATTATATGGCTGTTTTATTGTACAAGACACATTAAGCAGTTAATTCTACATGCTTTATTAACCCCTTGAAGACCAGGCTCTAAACTGGTTTAAATAAGATAATTTTTCATTAATTGTACATACTATCTAAAACATGCAATATATGATTATCAGTTAAGTGCATTTAATAGACATATGCTGAAAAAATAATTTGTGCAAATTGGTTTTGCAGAAATGTCTGTGACAGATATATCTATCTCTCTGGGTTCTGAAGGGATTTTATTTGTGACAGAAAAATCACTCATTCTCTGTACTTCATTGTTAAAGAGGTGAACTCTTACCATAAAAGTCACCAAAGATACATTGCAGGGGTGAACTTAGGGAATCTGCAACACTCTATAGTATATAGTTACCCTTTTAAATAATGCAGGAGTTTCACTAGAATTTCTCATAACAGGCTAAATAAATGAAAACAACAGGCAAAATTCATGGAAATTAGAAATTTAACATGGAAAAGTTGAAAAGTCCCTAAAAACAAAGGCAATTTTGTGAAAACAACCAGTGAAAATTGCCTGTTGCATGCTGCCCTTGTAATGGGTTTGCTTCTTTCAATTAGAACGCTATCAATCCGCCCCTATTAATTATATTATACAAAAAATTAACAATAAAACGATGGCCAATCAATTTTTATCATATTTACAACTCTCCCCCCATAAGTCTCCCCCCCCCCACTACTCATTCAACTATTTGTTTCCAACACAAGGGAATGGAAGGATTAAATCAATGAGCCTTTGTTTCAGATGCTGCTTGCAAACACTTGTAAACCTGCAACCAAAGATTAACACATTTTACACTTTGATAACCTTATTGAGGATACCTTACAGAAAATGTAATAGGCTGATTCTACTAGAATTTCTGACAACACGCAATTATGTGTGAAAACAACGGGAAAAAATATTGAAAATCACTCAAAGCAGTTAAAAAATATATATTCAAACCTATAAGTAGTTTTTGATAGAAGTCTCACTCTCACTTTGCCTGTTGTCAATGAAACCTGGAAGACAAGCTTAATTTTTCTCATGTTTTAAATAATGGTTTTGTCCATGTCAAGAATAACACAATTCTGAAACATGGTACATGGCCAGTTTTTAACTATGCAGTAAAACCTGTGTTTATTGAACATTTGTGCCCAGAAAAAAATTCAGTGTAATCAAAAGAGTATGTGCGGGGAAGGATATCCAATATTCACATGATACCAGGATACAGCATCGTCCCTTTGTACTTCACTTCCTAGCTTCGTTAAGGTACCTTATCTGATCATGTTTAAGTGGATTCTCTATGTTGATTCATGCAATATCTCATCTATTTTTGTCAGTCTGTTTAAATGTACCACCAAAACTCTTCGCAGGTTTGGGAAATTTTAACATTCTTTCTAAAGTTAATTTCCAATTTTCATCAGAGCATGTTCCTTATTGTTTTGCATGTTGTTATAAAATAAAATGCTAACAAAACCCCTGTTATTCAAACCAATAAGAAATAGCCTAATTTGTTGAGAAAGGATACTGACCAATGGTATATGGAACTTGCAGAAGGATATCATCCCTCATTAATCAAGAGATGGATGTCATCTCACTTTGATTAATTACCTGAATTAATATTTGATTTAATGGATTTATAACTGTTTTGTAACTACCTTGACTGATGTCCCCATATATGTTTTATTCTTAGACTAGTGAGTTAGATAGTACATGTAAATGTAAGAAAATTGCAAGGTTTCAGATATGGATTGCTGTTCAAGAAGGTGGGAAATTAGTTCCTGATAACAAAGTCTCCTCTACAGACAGAATCTCTATTCATGTAGTCTATTCTGGAGTTTATCACTGTTGCATATTACAGGCTTACCTGTAATAAGATATCATTTTCATTCAATAGTACTACACTACTGTATATCAAAAGTAGCTAATCCAAACCAAAATGACTGAGTGTACAAATGCTTGTCACAAGTAGATAAGGAGAAATAAGAAATATAAATCATTGGATATCAAATTTATTTCCTAAAGACTCTAGCAATTCTAATAGCCTCACTGTTTCATTGAAATGGCAAGGTCACTTAGCAATCTATATTTCATGAAATATAATTTAAAATGTTCCATTACATAAAGTTACATCTTGACTTGACACAGAAATAATCACTTTATAACCAATAGAATTCAATAAGTAATATTGAGTAATAAGACACAAAAGTAAGTATAATATCTACAGATACATCTTGGTTTCATTTTACAAACGTGAACCGAAAAATCCCGGCTTTTAGTAATGGTAAGGTATTGATCTGCGGACTAATACCGACACCAGATCACTACTGTTCGAAACACTAAAAACGTGATCTATTATATAAATATATACAATATAAAGCAATGAACATTTTACAAACTTAATAATACATTTAAATCATAATAAATAAAGATTGAAGAGTCCTAGGACTGAATGTATAAATCCATAGGTATACGGTATATTGTTCACAGGTATTAATAGCAACAGGTAGGCATCCAGGTAACAAGAGAATGTTAGAACAACAGGAAGAAGTTATCAACAAGGCTAGAATGATACCCTGGCTCTCCATCTGCCAGCCACACTACTGCAGTCAAAATCCTGTATTTTTCAATGAGAAAGAACCAAGATGTAAAAAAATCTGTACCCGAAATGAGAGCTCTTCAACAGGGGAGGTATGTATAGTGTTGGCATTCTGAACTATTATTGGAGTATACTATCTAATTCATAATTATGATGAATGATGACTGTTAATTAATCTGAAAGTGATTGAATCATTCATAGCATAATTGCACTATATTCTAATCTGGTTAATTATTTAGTTAGATATCTCAGACGTTAGATTTCAATTATAAACATCTTCCACCTCAGCCACCATAATAGATGAAGTAGTTCACTATATTTTGTTTTAGCATGACCATTAGCATAACAAAAAGCCATAGTGTATTCCCCATATGACTGGTACCCATCTAGTTATAAAAATGGGAAAATTGGAAAATGGGATCATTGTCACTTTTAACTGGTTCTTAGAACAACTGAATCTTTTTGAATCAAAATGAATTTGTAGGGGTTAATGGTATAGCAATGAGCTTAGCTTATAAATCACATTATCTGGATTATAAGCTCAATGTAGGCTAGTATCGAAGACTGGACAATCTCAACTAATTCAACATGGAAAGCAACCTTATTTTTAAGTGCCCTTACAGAAACTAGTCATATGATTTATGATGCACAAATATGTAAAATATAATAAATATATAAACATTAATAAATTCTGAGTTTTACATGATTAGTGCAAAATTTAGCATCGGGAATTTTTCAGACAACAAAATTTGATGAAACCTGCAAAAGGTGAAATAATATGGCTGTAAACTGGACGACAATTAACAAGGAATTAACAGGCAAAATTACACCATGTGGAATTTATTACAAACACCAACAGCAGAAGGCTGTTACAAATGCCAACTATTAATACAAACACCAACCACTGAACACTAATACAAACACCAACCACCGAACACCATCCACAAAAGGTTGAAGTATATTCCAACATTTCAACACTTATGGTAGTGATACAATAACTTAAAGAAGTTGAATCGAATAATACAGGATGACAAGAATTAATAGAATAGGAAAGCCTATGGTAGAATCTGTCATTAAATGTGTGAGAGTTGAAAACAATATTTACAACTTATATACAATTTACAATCAATTTATGTGTTCTTTAACATAATATCATAAGAATATTCTTGTAAGTCCCATTTCATCATTATAAAAATTAGTCAAACAATGTTTATCACTTTCATAAGGGAAAACGTATTCATCAAATAATTTCTGTGACATCCATAATCTGTTATTGCACTGAACAAATTAATAATAACCCTGACACCTATAAGACAGCAGTAGCAATACTACCCTCTGGGATCAATAAATGATTTCTTTACAGTTAGATTGTAAATAATTTTTTGATGGACTTAAAAGATAAATTGAATGTTAGTTACTTGAAGGCAAATTACTGAAGTAACTTGATTACGGCTAAATCAAAAACTCTTTGTTAATGTAAGAGTATAGATCTGTATATTCTTTCAAAGGATGACCAACTATGAGTACTGTATGTGATAAATAGCATATGTTGCATATGTCACTTAAACAGGTGTCTATACCCCATATGGCACCACAATCTTTAGCTAATAGCTATATTACTAGGTACTTCACATATCAGCAGGATACTCTTCAATAATACACACAACTTGATATGAGATTAGATAATTCATCAGGAAACTTATCACAATAATATATCACAGTTCCTAGATAAAAATATGTAAATTGATCTGTTTTCAACCCAGGACTTTTCTCAATTAGATAATAAAAAGGCAAATTTTAATGGTAAGAAATAGTCAACACATTGAAATATATTTTTCATGATCTTTAACTCTTTTAACTTGGTTAAGTGTCCAGTAACCACTTGAAACCTTTGACAGGCCACACTGAATTGAATACATACATTGAGTACAAAAGTAGTAATCTTACTAAACAGCTTATTGGCTAAGCCCTTTTACATGCAATCAAATGTAAATAAGTTTAATATTTAACCTATCAGCAGTTTCTAAATTATCTAGATATCAAGAGAAAGACAATCAGCAGATCAGTGATCTCCACAGCATTAAAGCAAGTGGGTGCAGCACCCACCTGAGATTTTGAAACACACTTGCACTTGAGAAAAATTGGCATATTTTGACCAATGTTGGTCTGAATTGTGAAAATGAGAATTTTGCACCCACTTGAAGAAAACTTCTGTAGAGAACACTGATAATTCAAAAGAGAAAATGCAACTATTTCTGTCAATACATAAGCCCTGGTAATTTGTGGTAAATATACACATGTAATATAGGCCCTGGATTAGATAGCTGATAGTAACAAACAAATACAAATCCAGTCTAGCATTTCCATTTTTCCTTGAATCTGTTTTGACAAGATAGACAAAACAATACAAGTATGAACTTTAACAGGTTGCAGTCAATGTGCCAAATATGTTAATGTGCCAAATATGTCAATGTGCCAAATATGTTAATGTGCCAAATATGTCAATGTGCCAAATATGTCAATGTGCCAAATATGTTAATGTGCCAAATATGTCAATGTGCCAAATATGTTAATGTACCAAATATGTCAAGATAGACAAAACAATACAAGTATGAACTTTAACAGGTTGCAGTCAATGTGCCAAATATGTTAATGTGCCAAATATGTTAATGTGCCAAATATGTCAATGTGCCAAATATGTCAATGTGCCAAATATGTTAATGTGCCAAATATGTTAATGTGCCAAATATGTCAATGTGCCAAATATGTCAATGTGCTAAATATGTCAATATGCCAAATATGTTAATGTGCCAAATATGTCAATGTGCAAAATATTGAATATGTGATAAATCATCATTAAAATAAACCTTTATTACTAAGATCATTGTCAATGGCACTTAATCTGACCTGATACTGCCAACAGAATTGAATATAATCTAAGAATTCTCGAAAAGTAGACTCTGGATTCGGAACAAACTACACAAAAGTCTATAGTTATACTTAACACATAGCAAAGAAATGTTATTCAATTAAATAAACAATGAAATTCAATAAGCTTCAGAAGGACATTCTTATTAATGAATACCTGGTAAACCTTGTGGTTAAGCTGCCTACTAAGATATAAATTACACACGTGTTATAACTACTGAACTACTCTATTATAGGAAAATCCTTAAATTAACCTTCTAATCCTAGAGTGACATATACTATGTAATAATCAATATAATATGATTAAAGTATATGTATGTCAAACACAAACAACATTCTTATTCCCGAGGCATGACATACAATTATATGTGTACACTATATACTTGTATATGTTGAAATGTGCTCTGGTTGGGATTCAGCACCTAGTAATGAAAGAAAACAGGAAAAGGTAACAACTGACAAGGAAGCAAAACACATATTGCGACTATCCTACAAATGAGTAAATTGGTTGAATGATAACTACTGCTACATGTCTACACCATGGCGACTGATTCATCTGAAAAAGGCGGCAGCAATATTGAAGAGTCAGTTATCCGCCTCAAGTCATGTTACGCTGATAAAACATTCAAAAATATAGCTGTTATGATTCACATTGGTTCCTATTTTTGAGTCATGTCACCCTGACCCTATAAATATGATCTAACACTAAAAAAAGGTAAGCCTCGTTTATTAGATCAAAATCAAATATAAAACATCAAATATTCTAGGCTACCAACTACTTTCGTTTCATTTCAATGAATACAAATCAAATATGATTTATCACAATTGATTGACTGTTTAAATTTGTTTGACTGATAATGAATTCGTTTCCACCAATGACAAAGCTCACTGCTCAAACACATGCTTGCTTTAGTGCAAATATCTAGGTCGCGAGGTCACCTACAAATTCAAAAAAGGGCGCCCATTTGAAGGATAAAAACAGATGTAAATTACGCATGTTCAAAATAAGATCGAGCACTGACAGTTCAAGAAAAAGATTAGGAAATTACCTTTCCAAAGTAAGCAGCCCAATGAGCAGGTGTCCATCCATAAAAACTGTCTTCAACATAGATTCCGTGTTGTGCTTCGATCAACAACAAAGACAGATTCTCCAGGTCGCCATCTCTACAAGCGCGGTGAATTGGGAAGTGAGATTTCAGTAGTTCTTCGCTTGTACTACCCCAATATCCAAACTTATAAGATTCTGCCATATCTGAGGTGTATAATCCAATAAATATTGTTTGTAAATTCAATGTAAAACTTATATAAAACAGCGGTTATGTGTGACCTTCTTCACCGGCATTTTCTCTTCCATGTGTTGTTTACTTTTGACGAGATCTCGCGAGAGGTCACGAGATGTAAGATGTCCGCGCCCGTATTCAAACTTGTTTTTTTCAAAATATCTACTATTTGCTTCATATTTCTCATCATCTCGGTTGAATTATACTTAGTACCACATGTAAGTATTTTATACAGATATCGAAGAATAAATTGAATGTAAAACACCATCAAATTATTTGAAATTAGCTAGATCTACAACGTTTTGATGACAATATTTCATGCCTTTTGCAATTACATTAGGCAAACCAGGAGATTTTAAATGAGCACATATAAAAACTGTATATAATAGTATAAGGAATTTTAGACTTTTGATAAAGAACAAGTGAATAAGTATCAAGAGCAAGCACAAGGGAATAACCAGCAACACGTGACCAATAAGCGGCATTATAACGCTATAAAGGATACAAACAAACAAACATTTGTCAATTTCAAATTCATTTGACATCATCAAATCATGTGATACTTGTAGCAGAGAATTCTGAAGCACTCTCTTCATTGAATGATTAATATTTGTTATAGGTTCAATTTTTTTATCACAGGCCCGTGTATTGAAGAATCTTGTAACTTATTCTAAGCCCATGCATGGTGTTTCAAGGACAGGTCTTGCGCTGATCATGAAACCCTAGATATTTGTTTTCTTAATCTTTACGCTACCTCTGATGGACTATTGCTTTTCTTCAACTGAAATATAATTGAAATCATAAATTTAACTTGGAAAAGTTGAAAAGCCCCTAAAAACAATAGGCAATTTTGTGAAAACAACTCAGTGGTACATGTAAATATTGCCTGTTGCCTGCTGCTAATGAAACCCCTGCTTCAGTTCAAGATGATTTCAAGAGCCTAGGCTGTAGACTAAATTATACAATTACAAGTACAATAGGGTGTTTCACTTTTCGACTTTTTTTCAAATCAAAATGGAGTTTTGCCCAGTTGGCCTCCTGATAAAGAATAGCAAGCACAAAAAATTTCAACCAAAGCTTCAACTACACCAAAGTGCCTTTGGTAGAACAAATGTCTCAAACATGATGAAAATAACACTTTCTGCAATTTTTAGACGATTATTAACATGGTATCAAATGGGCATCAAAAAGTGTGGTAGGGGGAGGTCTAAACGTCAAGGGATTTGGTTGAAATTTTTTGTGCTTGCTTTCCTTTATCAGGAGGCCAACTGGTCAAAACTCCATCTTGATTTGAAAAAAAGTCGAAAAGTGAAACACCCTAAAGTACAAGTCAAAACTTTCTTAACAACCTGATATTTTCAGTTTAAATTAGGATTTGCTACTTGTTATGAGAATTGAACTTCACTCGTGTCGTGTCTGACTATCAACTGCGTTTATTCCATAGATTATGACGTAACACATTTGTACAATTATGACATAACATAAAGCATCTAATTAACATAATTAAGACATTATGACATCTCCCCTTTTAGGATGATAATACACTAATGAATTGCATGTAATATGTCCATCGCATGTCTTAGCAAATAAATGAATTTTGCATTGTCCTTCATGCATATAGAAACCTTGTAGTTTGTATACAAAACGTACAACGTCAGCTTTAAAACATAAACATTATATAGTGATAATAATGTCAGTCTTAATTGAACACTTTATCATTTGCGATTCACTAACAATGCATCACAATGTCCGTTACATAAATCTGGATGGCTTTTTTGCAATTATACCAGATTTAGAACGTGTTTGTATGACTCTTGGACTTGGCAACAATTCCATTCTTGGTTGAGGTAATTCCTCTTTAACATTCACAGACTGCTTACCATGATCCTCAATGTCGGGCGAAATACCAGGATTGGTAATTGTGGGGGCGGGGAATTCCATTGGAAATGGAATAGGACTGAGATCCCTTAATTTAGAGTTAGGGTCTGGCATTAGATGGCGTCTATTTCGTCTAACAGTACCCCGGTCAGTCTGTACAATGTACGATCTTGGTGAGTCATGTTTGGCTTTGATTATACCTGGAGTTTTCCACCCTTTTTGATTGTCAAGTTTAACGAGTACTTTGTCACCTTTAGGTAATTCTGTCAAAGGTTTCACTCCATGGCGATTGTCATAGTTAGTCTTGTACTTTGCCTTAGCACTGCTATCGTGCTTAGCAAGTTGGGCCAATGTGGACTTAAGTTGTTGGGTAAGGTTGGTACAGTCGATTTTATTTGTCTTCCCATCAACAATTGTGCTGGGGAAACACCTGTGGACATATGTGGCGTAGAGCGATAAGTGAGAAGCGCGAGAAATGGGTCATCCTGTGATAGGAACCGTTTGATTATTTGCACTCCTCTCTCTACTTGTCCGTTTGACTGACTTAAATGTGGCGAACTAGTTATGTGACGGAAATTGTATTTCTTAGCAAAATCTGCGAACTCTTGACTTGCGAATTGAGGACCATCCGACACAACATCAGCAATACCGTATCTGGCAAATATGCCTTTCATTTTGTCTATCACATTCTTTGATGTTTTTTTTTTATTCATGAGCGCGATCTCTGGGAAACGAGAGAAGTAATCCACGATCACCAACCAGTGTTGATTCTGGAACTCACAAAGATCCGCTGCGATTAATGACCATGGCCTATCAGGTAGAATAGTAGGTATTAGTGGTTCATGCTTTTGAGTTGGCCTTGAAACAACACAATGAGCACATTTACTTACCATATCTTTTATCTGCGAACTCATTCCAGGCCACCATACAGATTGATTCGCGCGCAATCTGCATTTTGTAATGCCCAAATGACCATGATGGATGCGTTCAAGCATATCCCTCTGCAAACTCCGAGGTACGACAACACGCGAGCCATGTGTTATAACTCCGTTATATAAACTCAACATACCTTGTTCTGCAAAATATGGCTTGATAGCTGGCGGTACAATCTTAATGGATTGTGGCCATCCAAGAGAAATGTATTTGTTTACCTGTAAAAGATCAGCATCCAAAGTTGTAGCTTCGCGGATTTTCTCCAATAACCGATCAGCGATAGGTCTATTTCTGTCAAGTGAGTACAGATAAGATTCTATATCTACTTCCAAATCATCCTGTTTTTCATTACATGGTTTCATCGGGTCGCGCGATAATGTGTCTGCTATTACCATATCCTTTCCCGGGACATATTTAGCACGCACGTTGAAGCGCATCAATCGCATAAGAAGTCTCTGGCACCTAATCGGCGCTTTATCAATGTCTTTGGAATTTATCAACGGCACAAGGGGTTTGTGGTCCGTAAAAATTTCAAATTCGGGTAAACCGACTAAATATCTGGAAAAATGTTCACACCCCCATACCGAAGCAAGGCATTCCTTCTCAATTTGGGCATACTTCTTTTCCGATTCAGATAAACTTCTTGATCCGAATGCAACCCGTCTCCAAATGTCATCTTTACTTTTCTGAAGAAGACACGCCCCGATTCCGTAGCTAGAACTATCTGCGCTAACAATAGTAGGACGAGAAATGTCGTAAAAAGCTAGTACCGGCGCGTTGCAAATCATTCGTTTGATTTCGTTGAAAGCATTATCTTGGGCTTTTTCCCATTGAAAAACGACATCTTTTCTAAGCAATGCGTACAACGGAGCTGCAACTTCAGCTAAGTTTTTCACGAAACGACATAGAAAATTGACCATACCTAAAAATCTACGTAGTTCTGTGACGTCAGTAGGTGTATTTAGCTGTTGAATTGCCTTTATGTGTTCTTGTGAAGGAGCTACACCGTCCTTTGAAATTCGATTGCCAACAAATGTGACTTCCGGCAATGAAAACTTACACTTTCGGCGATTGAGCTTTATCCCTACCTTTCTTACGAGTTCCATCACGTTCTTGAGATTTTTATCATGTTCTGCTTGAGTTTTTCCATGTACGATTATATCGTCGATTACGACCTCGGCACCATCAACCTTCGAAAATATGTCACTCAAATGTCTCTGATAAAGTTCACTTGCGAAGTTAAGACCAAATGGTACGCGATTGAACTTATACCTTCCAAAAGGCGTAATGAACGTAGTCAATAGAGATGATTTGTGATCTAATGTGAGACCCCAAAAAGAACTCGACGCGTCCAAAATACTAAACACGGTGGAGCCAGCCAACTTGTGCAAAACGTCTTCTGGTGTAGGGAGGATAAACTTCTCACGTTTCACACTGAGATTTAGACGACGTAAATCCACACAAATTCTTGGATCAGCATCATTTTTCTTTTCTACCGCGATAATGGGAGCACACCAATCAGTGGCACTAGTAACGCGTGAAATAACACTTTGAGATTCAAGCTTTTCTAACTTATCTTTCACTCTAGCCATTAATGGTAAAGGTAAACGTCTGGAGCAAGGTACACTATAAGGCACATCGTCTGATTTTAGGTCAATGTGAACTGGCTTACAGTCAATCTTACCAACGTCACCGTAACAGTCATTAAAGGTATCATGAACAGACCCTAAATCTTTGAAAAGACCCATGGCTACAGCACAGCCCCTGGACAAAAGATTTACCCCAGAAAAAGTATCTGCGACGTGCATGTTTACCCTGTATTTGCGTGACGCATGGGGAATTTGAGCGGTAAACACCCCTTTACATTTGACAGGTCCCCCTGGACTACTGAGCTTAACTCTACTCATCATGGTAACATCAGCCCCTGAATCGATTTTGAAATGAATGGGATTGTTACCTGCTATCCTAAGTTCTTTAAACCACGCTGGTACTTGATCATTCACATCTGTGACGTCTGTCATATTGTCAATATCAACAGAATCAGCAAGCGGTGATGTATTAATATCGTCACTCTGGCTACCTGGAACGGGTGAAGCTTGTGAGCGTACATCGACATCTGTCCCGAAGATCCGGTCTGGTAACCCTGGAATGCCTGGGTCATTGGGAATTACCATTTCCGATAGGAATACATAATCCTCATCTTGATCTTCTACGTATTCTGTAGATTCAATTTTCTTGTTTGAGCTTTTACTCGGAAGTTTATTAACAGTCCCACCTTTTGTCTTGCGGCAT